AAAAAGGAGAGTATGTGAGCAAAAAACATTAAGGTTTGAGAAAACTTTAGCAAAGGAAATAAGTTAAGTTTGCAAAACACGAGTTGAGTAAATAATAAAAATAAATACTAAAATAAATAAACAAAAGTACATACATATATATATTAAATCATGACAAGTCCTCGACATAATTTTTCTCTATTTACTCCACCCTATCCAACACTACATTTTCCTCAATTCCCAAAGCACTCATATAGTCATACAACTCTCAATCACCCTTCTAAGTTTTTTTCAGGTCTTCCCTTACCACTTGCAATCCCAACACTTTGCCACTAGCCCACTCTTCAAGCCTTCTTACCAGAGCCTCACTTGGTCTCCTTTTTACATGGCCAAACCACCATAGGCAATTCTCCTGCAGCTTGGATTCAATAAATGTAACCCCTACATTCTTCCTTGATATCCCATATCTCAACTGATCCTTTCTTGTATGGCACTCATCCATCGCAACATATGCATCTCCGCCACATTCATCTTATGCTCATGATCTACTTCACAACCCAAACACTCGATACCATATAACAAATGAATAATAATTATCAGGGACTGTTGTGCAGGCATATGCTAACAAAACAAATTTCACAGTTTAATGTATGGTGTCATTTAATATTATAAGCTAGATAGTTTATTAATACAGCTTAGTAGCTTACTATTCCCATGTGCTTCTAGCCACTTCATGTGGTGCATCACTAAAAGTATAAAATTCAATGAGTCCATAATTAATAAAACTCAACATATATAGTCTGTATGTCCAATTTTCAAAACTAAATGAGGTGATAATTTATCGATACAGCTAACTTATATTCCCATGAGCCCCTAGCCACTTCATATGGTGCACTACCAAAATTTCAGTAGTTACAATGATATTCTATTCCTGAATTACAAAGACGCTAACTAAAAAGTAAATGTTGTCCTCAAGACATAAATTATAAGTCAAGCGAGCAATCAAAAAAACTTACCCATTCAAGGAAAACCCGAACTAGCTAAAGAGCATATAATCAACGATGTACCATTCAAAAAAACTCACACCCCCCAATCCTAACATTCGAAACAAAAGACCTTTACTTTGCACTTCAATATCCCTATCAACCACAAAGGGAGATAATCTCCAATATGAATCCAGACTATAGTAGAAATTGTTAATTATTCAATCATTCAACAGAACTATGCATGTCAGAACAATGCTTCAACAAGGACTACACCAATAACAATCGATCTTATCTCAATACTACAGCTAATGAAACTTCAAATTCATTGTCTATCTAAATATATAAGCACCTCAGCTATCTCAATTCTTATAACATTATTTAGATGCCTAGTTCTACAGATTAACATTAACACCGCAAATTCTAACAGCATACCAAATCACAATTAACAAATTTGCAATCAATTCAAATCAAAACTACTATTATCCAACCAAAAAACTTCACCACAAACAGCTTGAATTACGAAATCTCAATTTCTACAATCTGAATTCTTCTAACAAATGCAAATCTCAATAACTCTTAAAACCAATTAGATCTACTCAGAAAGATATTAAAATCAAGTAAACAATCTTTATTGATCATGTATATAAAATAAATAGTGAAATGAATTAAGAACTAGCTCAAAAATAACCACCAAAAAAAATAGTCATCCAATCAGTTAAAAATAAGTAAGTTCACCAAAAACTCTGATTTAGTTGATGCAAGGCAGGATCCAGAATACCACCAGCTGAGCAGAACAAATAAATTGCCATACAAATCTGTAGCTCCCGTAGCTGACATCAAATATTAACCATAGCCAATAAACATGAACCCCATGGACGAAATCTAATTAGAGTGACCTTAAAGAATATAAAGCCAAAACACAAAGAAAGATTAATTGAAAAGCATAGCACAACAGTACTTCCATGCAACACTTCAGGCATCAGGCCATAAGCTGCAAAAAAGTCGAGCACAGCAGCAATTTGTACCTGAATCCGGAGTCAAGCTCTCAAATGGGTGAAAATCAAAGATGAAGGCAAAAATTGAAGTACCACTATCAGACCATTTATAATTAACATATCAGATTGACTGACAACAATGATGCTGACTGTTACAAGGGTTATTACTGTACAAACTTAACAGCCAGTCAGCCACTCACTTGTTATTACTTTAAAGGCAAATTACAGCTAATAATATGAAGATAAATATTTATGCTCAGCTACACCAGAGGCCCAGAAGTCGCAAAAGAGTACATGATATCCTTTAAGCCTTATTAAGATCAATGACCAAATGCAATATTGCTGCAAATTCATCACACAAACGTATTCATCACACTCAAAAAAATAGTGCAATACAGAGAACAATTTCTTATAAATGCACTATATTCCTCACAGTATCTTCTCTCCAAATCTAAACAAATTAGTTTTTAGTCATTATTGCGCATTTGAGCTAGTAACAAATGGAAAATGACTCTTAAGCAACGCAAATTTTACAGTCTAATGTATGGTTTTGCCCAAACTCAAGAACATCAACATAGTCCGTGCAGTTAAAATGAGTTGGTAGTTTATCGATACAGCTTACCATTTCCATGGTGCGCCACTTCATGTGTTGCATCACCTAAATAATAAAACTCAACTAGTCCACAATCTGTAACACTAGGCATATATATCGTCTGTAAGTCAAAATTATAGAATTGAATGAAGCAATAACTTAGAAGCACAGCTTCCTACAATCCCCATGTGCTCCTAGCCACTTCATATGGTTCTTTGGTGCACCACCAAAATTTTAGTAGTCGCAATGACAATCATGTCCTAAATACGGAGACACTAAAAGGTTAACGTTGTCATCAAGACGTCAATTATAAGTAAATACAGCAATCAAATCTAATAGAATCCATTCAAGGAAAACCCAAAACTAGCTGAAGAACATATAATCCCTATCAACCACAAAATGAGACAAGCTCCAATACGAATCCAAACTATCTTCAAAACAAGAGATGTCATCAAGAGATTCATTTAGACCAATAACAACCGATATCATCAATTAGAGATTACGGTGATTCATTAATCGGAACAAGAGATGTCAACAATACTTCAACAAGGTTTAGCCCAATAACAATCGATTTCATATCGATTCTACAGCTAACGGAACTTCAAATTCATTGTCTATCTAATCAATTAAACACCTCAATTATCTTAGTTCTTAATCTGTCATCGATTAATCGTCTAGTTCTACAGCAAAACATACTTAACAATATAGCGAAATGAGTAAATTTCAGCAACATACCAAATTCCAATCAACAAATTTCCAATCAATTGAAATCAAAACTACTCCAATTCACCAAAAACAAATTTAATCACCAAATCACATTTCCACAAATCCAAACTCTTCCTAACAAATTCAAATCTCAAAAACTGACATAAACAAACAAATCAACCAAAAAGCAATCAAAATCAATCCAACAACACACTCTAACAATAAATCAATAAAAAAAAAAACACAGAAATGAATCAATAACCAGCTCAAAATGAACTACCAAATCCAAACTCATCCGATCTGATAAAAAAACGAGTAAGTAATTCACAACAAACTCCGATTCAGTTGATGCAAGGCGGGATCCGGAATACCACCGGCTAAGCAGAAACAATTAAACTCACGCCACTGATTACGCGGCGGCTGCTACGGCGGCGGAACATTTATTTTGACCAGTTCCCGACCTGCACCAAGCGAATCAGAGGCTGCCGCAAATCTCTCTTCGCCGCTCTTTCTCTCTCTAGAAAAAAATCTCTACTTTCTCTCTCTAGATTTGTGAATGTAAGAAAAAGAGGAGAAAATCTATTTATAGTAAAAAAAATTAATTTTTTTTTTTAATTTTGCTAGTTTTGGTTTTGTGCTGTTTATTTCTGAGGCTATACCTATTTTCAGCTAATCTAATCTAACAACTCATGTGTTTGAGGAGAGAGAAAGATTTCAGTGTTGGGTATTTATTAGGAGTAACAGACGACTAGGATTTTGACACGTATGTAGGTTACCTTAATGTTGGTATTCGGTGAATAACCCGCCCGTACTTGACGGTGTTTCTAAAACGGGTTTCTTTATTAGGTTTTTTTTTTTTACGATGGGTTTCTAATTTGGGCCCACCATTTTTGTGTACCTTGCTTCTCAAGTCAATAAAGTTTGTATGAACGTTTTTGTGTTTTGTGACTTTTATCATCTCTGTTTTTTTTTTCTTTTTTTCAACTTTTTGGTGCGTTAAATTATTCATTTTCATATTACTATGGTCTATCCTTAGAACATGTCTTTTTTTCATTTTTGTTTGATTTTACAAAATTGTTTGATTATAATTTATATAAGTATTACTCGGCAAAAAAAAAAAAAAAAAAAAAAAAAAAAATTATGTAATTCGTACAATTACTTCAAAAAAAAAAAAAGGTAATTCGTACAATTTTTCAATTTTGAATTTGGGGTATATGTTAAATTGCTAAAGATATGGAATTTAATGGTGGTGTAATTTGTTGAAATTTTTTTTAGGAATGAAAGGTGTAGTCCTTAGGAAACTTGTAAATAGGTGTGGCATGTATGAGATTGATGTGTTGTATTTTTCTTAATTAATTTGTCAAATGTTTGGCATGTGATTGTTTAGAAAAATGAATAATTAGAGGATAAAGTAGCAGCTTGCAAATGAAGAAATTGATACATCACAATCAAGTTTGGACTAATTTGGTTTGTCAAGAAATTAAACAACCATGAGTTGAAAATTCAACCCAAATAAAAAAACAAGGTTATCGAGCTTGAGTTGCACACGGGATTATATACTGTTTTTTACCACCTCTATTTTTTAAATTATTATACTTTGATTGATACATAGTTTTAAACAAATTAATTGACTTAAATATTAAAATAAATGCAAGTATCATAATTGGAAACCTTGAAATATTAACAAATTATAAGAAAATAATGTCAAGGGTGCTAAGTATCATACGCGTCAATTGAGTTGTATTTTTAACCCATCCAAACCTGCACTGTTCAAATGGCTATGTTCTTGTACCTCAGCCTATCTATACAAACTACGAATTTTGGTAGATCTTCATATATACTGCCTGTACAAAGTGATTACCTATACGGCTATACATAGCCTTTCATTAAAGGGGCAAAACAAAAGCCAAAACCATATACAACTATAAAAACATTTACAGATGCCAACTGCAAAACCTTTTTTCTTCTCAAAGTAGAGGGATGGGGGAGGGGGGGGGGGTTGTAGACAGTTGCACACCGCCTCAATTGACCTTAACAGACTTCCTACACAAGCGATAAGTTATACAGACCTCCTACGAAGGGAACCAAAGACAAGTATTTAATCAAATAATACATGCCTAAAAACCGACCTACAAAGAACCAAGTTCAGACCCTGACCCTTGCCCTAGAAAGGTTGAAATGACTGGAGACAACATATGGGCAACCTTCGGCAATGTAGGATAGGAAAGAGTGCCAAGGATAAACCAGTTGACACTTAAAAGTGCAACTGCATCAGCAGCCGGTCTATTTCTAATGGTCGAGAAGAACTGCACTACACTCCTCAAAGACATGCCCACCACAGTGAACAGAGCCAACACAAGAGGCATGCAAGGGTCTTTAGCTTCCCAAATAATCATTCCAACCAGCAGAGATAACAAGGAGCTAAAAAGACTCTGGGATAGTGCAACCTCCCTTCGTTGATTAAGAGCTGCATCTACATCTACGTTGCTTGAGAAAATCAATGGTGTAAGTGGATCCACAAGCCCTGAAGGATCCATCCCAGTTTGGAGTTGCTCCTTAGTAGTCCTGGGTGTTTGTGGAAACTGTAGGTCTTCTTGAAAGTTGTAATTTCCACTTTTTCTAGAATGCCAAGGACGCTCATCCTTTTCAGGATCAATCGACATTTCCACTTTCCCTGGATCACAGATTCCTTTAGTCTGAACTTCCTTCAGTCTAAGATTCTTGTCTATCAGGCGCGTCACCTATTAAAAGATGGTTTAATTCATGTTAGCACTAAATTTTGTTTACAGGTTATCTCATTTAAAAACAATTTTTTTTTTTTTTTTGGAATACATACTGGCTTAAGCCAAAATGTCTAACTTTAGCAAATGTTATTCAAAAGTGAGTTCCATCGTCTCAATAATAGAGCAACATGATCATACAGAAAATAAGTACATGAATGTGAAGTTCATTAGCAAAAGTACTTGGTCACTGTCATAACAATGTTATCTTTTGTTATTGTTTCAGCTAACAAGAAAAATAGGAAGGATTGCTCAAAAATAGAAAGATAGCTACTTTAGCAGTCACTAATTCTAGAGATGAGCCAGTAAGTCAGCTTAATATGCCTTCTTTTGCCTACGCAGTTACTAATATAAAAACCAATAACACTCGGTTCTTCCTGCATCAGCACCCCCATATGAAATGAGAACTATAATAAACTTTTGCCCCTTGGACCTCTCTCTACCATAACCATTTCACTCTCCATTCTTCTCCTCTTTTTGCCTCCTATCTTGCTTTCTACTCCTACGGCTTGCAGGATTTTTCCTCATCGGAGAAGTCAGGCGTTTTGTTGTAGAGTACAGATGTCTGAATTTTCTATACATTTTGCACTATTCATTAGGTTTATAATAGTATAAGTAATTAGTTGAGCCTTCATTTTTGGTAACTTGATAACTTTCAACTGTTCATGAATTGCGATTAATTTTTTTATTATTCAGTAGGATTAATAATCAATTGAGATTTGTTCTATATTCTACGGCAGTAATGGTACAAAAGTGAGAAGTTCTGAGTTTGAAATTACAAAGTAATTTTCTGGCTTCTTACATATTCAAGATCGTTGCCAGTTTCCATTTTTAGTTCTTTACAACTTTTCTTGCAACTGCAGCCCAGGTTGCTAATTGGAAAGTAGCGACTGTTAAATTAGTTGCAAATATTAGGGACCCTCTAAGTAAGTCACTGCAATGATTAGCAACCAATTGTTAGCAGCCAATCTTTCACAAACCAATTGAGCAACTAACATAACTGTCGCAAAATTAATCTTCTCTAGTAGTTAAAAACAAATCTAACTTATTAAATTATGCAGAACTTTCTACAAGCGCACATTGTTTTGTAACTTGAACGTAATCAATACCTGGCAACAGCTATGGACATAAACATTAGAGCATCATACCATTTTAGACCCAAAAGTAGTCTGTACCCCACTATTGGAACATGCACATTTGATTGTCTTTGCTCTACACTTATGGTGCCAGCACTGATAATTGCCTATATCAATATGCTACTTCCGAACACGACAGCGTAAAGGTGTTCAGCTACACTCTTCCAAAAAGGATACAGAAATAATTTTGCTTTCTCATCAGCTCTCAACAAAGTCAACTCCTCTGATTCTTTTATTTTTAATTTTTTTTAAAATATATAATTCTGCTTCCCTCCCTTTCACACGTTATTGATTAATTACAAAATCCACCTTACTAAATACAGGTAAAATGATCCCATGTCCTAACTCTCTATAAATTATTTTTATATACAATCATACTTCCTTATATAGGTCACTGGTAACAAGTTAACACTTATGGGCCTTATCCCATTAAAAGGCTCCCAAGTGATTGTTCACCCCACCCCCAAGCTCTCTTACGAAAGACCCACTATTCCATGAACGCCTTTATTAACCTGACGATGGATATAATACCTAAATAAACATGCTTGTGGTCACGATACCATCCAAATTTGTTGTAAACCCTCAATTATTTGTAAATCTTGTTAGCACAAACCCTTTTCTAAGATATATCAGAGAAGAATAAGAATTGATATTCCAGACCTCATTAGTTATAGTATAAAAGAGATTAGATATGACAAGTGGCAAAGTCACCTAGAAGGAGCGAAGGACTGCCAACAAAAAAATCATCAAGATAGCTCATATGATTCAACCGTCACCATATGCCAGATATAGGACAAACAAAGTTAAAAGGTAAATTTACCACATACAGCACAGCTACTATCACCTTTTAATGATATAGCATAACGCTAGTCTACTTCCTACTCACTCAGCCTAAACCTCCATCACAATAAGGTCGCGTCTTAAACAGTGAGCCAGCAATGGTTTAATTGTTAATTGATATTTAGTTATGACACTATCTAATAAAATGACCCCATCATTCCATGATTTTTTTTTTACCCTGTGGGAAATTGTCTCTCTTTTTATGAAAGCCTACTACAGGAAAATATGTTGTTTATTTGGACGAAATTTAAGATGATGTTGGAGTCTCTTGGATGATAGCAGTAAAATGTGGCTTGGAATTTTATTTTTTATTTTTTAATTTTATTGAAAGCTCCTATAGTTTGAGGAAGCTTATTATATTGCAATGTAGTATGGTAAATTTGCAATTACAAATTTACAATGACCATTTTTTTTGTAAGAAAGAATAATGGATAATAACAAATCTACCACTTCACCTTGCCCTTAACGAAGCCATTAGCTGCCAAATAGGCAAGCAGTCAGCCCCTCCACTAAGGAGTGTATGTCGGAATTTTAATAAGTAAGATAGTTTAAATCAGAAATTTTAGCAGAATTGAAGGTCTAGTAATCTAGAAAAGGCAATTGAAAAAAATATGTAAAAAGCAAGCAACACAGATTATATTAAACGTGATCAGCATCATGCAATATTTTCAGAGAGAAGGAAATCTATGACACAAACACAGCTTGTAAAAGAGAGAAATTCTCACCTCTTTCTCAAGGAATTCAATTTTACCAATAGCTTTGTCATGCTTCTCTTCTAAATCAGCCAACATCGACTCCATAAGATGATGTTCCTTGACAGCCAGCCTCAAATGTCCTGCTAGCTTCTCACTATCCCATGAGAGGCTCTCTAGCTCATTTTGCATTTCCTGGAGAAGCCTCTCCATCTGCATCAAAGGCATATTTAGAATAGTTGTCAATCACAAGTTCCCTTCATACCCAAACACACAACAACAACAACAAAATAAATAAATTAATAAAACAACAAAGAAAGATAGTGAGAAGGTGTAGTAAGAAAAATACATGAAACTACACTTATCAGGCCTTGAAAATGATTATAAAGAGTTAATGCTGACAGCTAACTAAACAACTAATAATGCCTGAACATGAAACAAGTAATTTTAATGTATAGAGATTAGGAATGATGTCGGACATCGATTTGCTATTTGACTGATAGAGCGTTTTGAGAACTTGGGTACAGCCAGACCAAGAAAACTACAAGACCTAATGAAAGAAAGTATGGAGAAGACCTACCACTTTCACCCTTCGGAGTGCACCTAAAGCTCGTATAGGAAGAGTTGTGATGCTCACAGTCCATTGGATAAATCTCCAGCACATATTTGCGTGCCAGTTAACTATCAGTCCTAGAAGCTGCATCCAAGTAACGATCGATAACCAAAGGCTTCTCATAAAAAGAAAGAACATGAGCTTCAGCATGTAAATTTATGCCAACACAAACAACAGCAGCCAGTACTTGTGATAGTTGTGAATCAATCCCAGCAGCTTTTGAAGCAGGCTCCAAATAATTGTACTACATGTCTAAAAAATTTCTATATTAGTCAAAGGTACAAGTGTACATGATTGGTAGACAGATACATGATTGAAAGGTAGCCACAACTAAAAACAATGATACAAGTACAAACATGGTATAAGTACAAACACGATACAATTAAAAACAGGATACAAGTACAACAACGCAACAGAGCACTGATATTGCTTTACAATGCTATAGTGCCAAGAAGTAATCTTCTAGCATGGAAACTGAGCGCCAAATCATTAACAACAAATGGACAGTCATATACTATCACATATCCTGGATGACACTATTCTACTAACGTGAGAGCTCAGGAACAAAATCTTTAGAAGTTACCCACATTCTGTCCAGAATTCATGAGACGAGTGAAAGCGTTAATTAAGGCCAATATACAATGATGTTGGGAGGACTTGAAGTACTAATTGGGGAATTTACCTGAGTAATACTTGCAATGGCTTTAAGCCATCTCTCCATATAAGAAATTATACATAAAAACAATAGTACCAAACCATCGAAAAATGCACAATAGTTAGTCAAAAAAACAGGTATGATACTTGCTACAACTACATAAGGATCACAGATTACAGCATCTCTCTAATTCTTCCCTGCCCCTAAAGTCAACTTTGCTACAAGAAATCACTTGTAAGAAGCTACCAGACAAGATTTCTAAAGATATGGGCACAAATCAACTAATGTCCAACTCACCCTGAATAAAAATAACATAATCTTTTTTCCCTCACATCAAAGACATGTGGTGGATAGTGGTAAAGAAAGACCTAACCATTACTCTCCTCCACAAACAGCATCAAGCATTTAATGGCCAAAGCTAAGCAAGCCTAATAATCACAGCTAACAAAGTTTGAGTACAAACTGTTATCAGAATTTTCAAGGCACATTGAGGTGCACCTTAGGCGCGGGATACTCTAAAACACCTTAGTGAGCCTTTGAGCGTTTTTACACATTGCTTACAATGAGGTAACCCAAGGAAAAGTTCATTTTCCCCCATATCCATATATGCGTAGTCAAGTGTTAATATACACTAGTATGAATAAGATAGATACGTTAAGCTTATGCAATGTTCTCCACGCTCCACCTTTCCCTCAAAACACTCTCATAGGGCTTGTAATTTAACTTATCTTCACCTATTTTAGACAAAACAAGAATTTTCACACACTAAAATTCTTTAAACAAAATAAATCTTTTTCTTTGGACAAAACAAATTTTTCAGACAATGTAAGTCTTAAATAATATAAGCTTAGACAAAATAATGGAAAATTTTACAATTGAAAATCATTTACTACTGACTAACAATCTAACTATAATAAATTTCATGATAACATACTCAATTTTGTTCCCACTTCAAAATTCTGAAAACTGTAACAACCAACAGCCAAAAACTACCAGAATCACTGGAAATTGTAAATTTGTTACATCCACCTTAAAAGACAAATGATAAAGATAGCAATTTACTTGCATAGTTATATCATACCCAATGTGACGCACAATCATGTCAGAATTGGCTACTATATAAATCACGAAACAGAATTATTTAATTTAAAAAAAAAATAGATTTGCTGTATTACAAGGAATCTTAAAACCTTCTAATGTGCAGTATAGTAGACTACTCACAAGGTGAAATCTAAAGATGCAGCATTTCAGCATCACTTCAATCCTCAATATAGACACCCTTTTAACATTCGAAAAATCAAAACGACGCAGATGCCATACTACGATCATAAATCAAAGTAAACTGGCCACACAAGATATAAGTATATAGGCTCCTGGCTCCAACATCCAGATGCATTTGAAACATCTATATTGAACCAGATATACGCAACCTTATCACTAACTTATCAGGTTCTCACTAAACAAACATATAACGGAAATAAGAACATCAAACATAAACCATAAAGGGCATAAACACAAGATTCTAGCAAACCCAACTGAAATATTTGCACTTTCTGACAATCCCAACTGAAAATTTGCGAGTTCTCACAAACCCAACTGAAATTTAGCAATTTCTGAAAAAACCCAACAGAAATTTTAAAACACCCAGATGAAAATATCGAATATTTGACAGACCCAGTGGAAATTTTACAATCCTCTGACAAAATCAATCGATATTTTACCCTATCTGACAGACCCAATAGAAAAAATGCAATATCTAACAGCTTAAAATCTTCAGGATTTTCAGACACCAAATACAAAAATCAAAAAGAGAAAATCCTGGATAAAATTGAACCCAAATAAGCAGACTACAGACACAAAACATATATAATTGAAGAAATTGAGAAAAAGAACAATAATGAAAATAATTGAATGAAAGTAGAGAAATAATGAAGCGTGATAACCTATGTTGTGCGAGAATGGGGAAGTCGTTCACTTCACTGACAGTTGCAGAAACAAGAGCGGAAGAGAGAGAAGGCAAATGGGTTTAAGAGAAGGATGAAGAGGTGGCAACAGCAGTTCGGCCATGGTAGACACGTGTGCAAAAACTGATTATAAGATGAGAGAGAAAGAAGAGAGCGGGAAAATTGATTATATAGCCTGCAAATCTACGCGTCAAACTTAGCATATCATCTTACTTTGCTGCTAGCTGACTCATCCTGCTAATTTCCATTCAGATTTTTTAGGAGAAAATACATGAATAGTATGCTAGGCGCATTCGAAAAGAATATTAAATTTATTTTTTTTGAAGAGACATTAGATTTATTTTAAAGACATGGGAGAACAAAAGAACATATTAGGGGTGTTTGGTTCAAGCATATTAGGTATAAGGTATGGGTTTGGGATGACCAAAACCCATACCTTGTGTTTGTTTCTAGAAATTTTATTTTTCAAACCCATACCTCAAACCCCCAAGGTATGGGTTTTTGAAACCCAAGGGGGAGGTGGGTATGGCTCATACCCATACCTTTAGTTTAAAATTAAAAGGAAAACTATCATTCCTAGATAAAACCAAACACATGAAATCAAGTATCAAGTTCCAACCTCATACCACCCATGTTTCATTCCTCATTCCAAACCTATACCATTGTTTGAACCAAACGCCCCCTTAGTGTTTTAAAAATATATACTACCTTCGATCTAAATTACTCGCAACTTTGGGGTATTATTTGTGAGATATAAAATATTTCAAAGTTGCGAGTAAATTGGACCGGAGGTAGGATAACTGTTTGAAAAGGGATATACATGTGTTTGACAAACAAAACATATTGGTGTTTGACAAAAAATATAGCATCACATCAAACATAAAGCTTTTACAAACATAAAATGATAATACATTAAAGAACATGTTATTTTTCCGTGGCTAGTCAGGTGGTTGAATGTGTTTGAAAAAGAACTCTATGTTTGACAAAAGAACAAGTGTGTTGTGTTTGACAAAGATAGAAGTGTTTATTGGGTGGGTCAGGCCGAGGTACAAAAATCAACCCACTTCTCAGGCTGGGTCGGGCAAAGCTTCAGGCCAATTTTTTTGTGCCCAAACCCACCCAAAATGGTCAGGTTATACGAGCTTTACGGGATAGGCCAAAAAAATCAACTAAAAATGCACTTCCAAATCCATCCAAAAATAAATAAATTTTCAGGTCGAGCAAAAAAAAACTCAACTAAAAATGCATATAAAAAAACCGCATTCTCAAATCCGCCCAAAAATAAATAAATATTCGAGCCGAAATTCTACCCTAAACCGCCCAAAATCGGGTTAGGCTAGGCCAGCGGGCCGGGCTAACTTTGATCACCATTAGACAAAGAACATAAAGTCTTTACAAAGAGAACATGATAATAATACATTAAACATGTTTTTTTTATGGTTACTCAGGTTGTTGCTAAATTTAACATTTTTTTTATATACCTATATAATTGAAGATATTGTACTTCCTCCGTCCCATTATTTCATGCTTATTTCTCAAAAAATACGATAATCAAGGAAAACGGTGGAAGTAGGAAAATATTATATTGGAAATATAAAAAGTAGCGAATATTGTATGGGGATAATAAAAGGAAAATTTTTAAATTGCCACCCAAAAACGTATCCATTTTCAAAATAATCACCCGTAAATTATTATTTTATTTTACCTTCCTTAAATTCGAAAACTACTTAGATTACCACTCATTTCAACAAGTCTGGTGGATTTTTGTGTGGTAATTTAAAATTTTTCCACAATAAAAAGTACTCCCTCCGTCTTTTTTTATTCGACTTCCGAGAACCGCTACCTATTGCAAAGCGGGGGCTTTAGCTTTGGCGAATCAAACAGCCTCAATCAAGGTCTCGAACAATAAAATAAAGCACAATGGAATTACAAGACATTGATTGATGTCTTTGAGTAAAACAAAGATAGAATAATATTTAATGTTGCACATGTCATCAATCCTTTGAAATGAAAAAGGACCAATAACATTTTTTGGTGGGAAAAAAAGGATCAATCATATTCATCTAAATTGATGCACATGGATTCTAAAAATAAGAGTGAGAAAATAAAGAAAACATTAATTAGTAAACTAAAAAATAGAGATAATTTGGGATATTTGGTAAAAATTTACTTACTAAAAAAGAAAAGTAGGAATGTAATTTTGAAATACCCAAAAAGGAGCATGAATGTAAAAAAAGGAACGGAGGAGTAGAAAATATTGTATGAAAAAGATAAAAAGTAAGTGTATTTTGTATGGGAAAGATAAAAAGTAAGTAATAATTATATGTTATTTTTAAAAACAGATACAATATTTTAGAATACCTAAAAAAGAATACATGCATGAAATAATGGAATAAAGAGAGTATAATGTAATGAACATATATTTCAAACTCAAAAAACATAATACAAGTTGATTTCGTTTTTGGGATAACGGTTAAATTGCGCGGTGGTTTTAGGCTTTTAAGGTAATCTGCTACTGATGTTCACGATTTTTCCACGTTTACCCCATCTTGGTTATGCCTTTTATCAATGAGTTCAACGGAACTCTATCAATTTAAAACCAATTTATTACACAATTGTTCGTACTTGTATGAAATTTTAATCGAAATCGAAACTAAGATGTATTCTATTTTTTTTATCTAAAATGATATTGTTTGCTCTTTATTTTTTATTTTTTTTAAGTAGATTTTACAATTTCCATAATCATTTATTGTTTTTTTTAATGTTATGCCCTATTCAATTCACCTTATTTTTACTGAACTATAATTATTTTTACTGGACTGTATTTATTTTACTGACAACCTTGTTATAATTCTTCTTTATATATTGATTTTTATTGGAATAAAATTATTTTTATTGAGCTAAACTTATTTATGCTCAAATAAAATTATTTTTATTCAATATTTTTTTAAGGTAATGTAAACAAGACTTAACACTATTATTTTGGCAAAAGACTAATACATCTGATACTCGCTTAAAAATTAGAAGATATTGTATTATCATCCTCATCCTCATCCTCATTCTTATTATCAGCATTATGGTTGTTTTTGTTGTTGTTCTAGCGGTAGTGGTGATGGTAGATATTGGCTAGTAAGCACTAGCTATTGTGGTGGTGGTGGGATGAGGTGGGAGAGAGAAAGGGTGAAGGGCATATATAATTCACTTTCACAACAAATCTAATATATATAAATAAAGTAGATATTTTTCGAAAGCATTCGGAGCGCCACATAAGAAAATTAATTATTTCGTCCAATGATAAATTTGATTTGTATTTTAATTTTGAATAAAAAATTGTATCTCCACGTAGGTAAAAGTAGCGAATAAGATATAGTATTTAAAATTTTAATGCCACATAGACGAAAAACTTAATGTCACGTATATTAAAAACCACAAATTTTATTTATCATTATCTTTATTTATCTTATAATAATTTTTATCTATCATTATCTTTATTTGTCTTATAATAATTTTTTTTGGAAAAAAATTATCTTAAAAGAAAAGTGCACAAATTTTACCAACATAGAATAGGAATGACAACTCCACTTTAATAATGCAACCGAATCAAAATTATCTTATAAATGTTTTTTTTTACCATTAAAGTATAATAAATATGATAATTCCTCTTTAATACTTAACACTTCTAGTCAAATAAAAATTTGAGGGAGAATTATCTAGCTTGTGACACTATATCACAAATACTAAATAATACCTCCGAAAAAAATTATATTTAAATGATAAAGTATCATTATAAGATAAATTTTGATAGTGTTTATGATAAGAAATCAAAATTGTTCATTAATCATAATTAAATTAAATTTTGTTATACCTACTGTTATAAATTGACACATTATACAACACCAACAAAATTTCATATTTATACAAAATTCACATCTAGCTGGAATTTTGTATTAGTAATTTTGTGTCAGTTTTAGGTCATCAATGGTAGGATACTTTTTAGATTAATTTCATATGTTTATGTTTTGTTTGATGAATTTCTTTTTTACATGCAGACCAGAGAATTAAATTTGAGCAAAAATGATGAAAAATTCAAAGTACAAGTTTTATTTTCACCTGTTTGATGTACTAAATTTCTGCAAACAAAATAGCTTAATAAGTTTGAATATGGTAATATTGGACAAAGAGGTATTTTTAAAAACAAATATTGTGATTTGGATTGCATAATCAACTTATTAAATTAATTTAATTTCTTATTTTTAATTTCAGGGTGATTACACAAGTTCATGCCTCAATTTAAAGCCAATTGTGTTCAACATTTTCGTCCAAACTTGATTGAAGACTATGAAATGTTTACTCTATTAGAAACTTTTCAGTCGTTCCAAATAATAAGCAATATCGCGTTGTGATATTGACAACAAAATAATAATTCAATAATAAATGATGAAAAAATTCCAATGCATAGATTTGATTTTATACATTTACAATTTTTAGATCTATTCCGCAACAATTATATCAATATTTTTTATTAGGTTTTAATAATATTCTTACATATATTTATGTGTATCTAATAATTTTTTTTTATATTTTGCTTATGTGTATTTTTTTTAATGCTCTTATTAAAATTTTAAAACTTATAATGCAAGAAAAAAATTAAGAGATCACAAAAAAAAATATTTATATACAAAATGTATATAAAAATTCGTGCATCGCACGCCACATAAGCAAAAATAATATTTAGACCAATGAAAAATTAGATTTATACATTAATTTAGAATTTTAATTTTCAGTCACCATTTAAGAAAAAATTAACAAATAAAATTTGAGAATTGAAAACAAAAAATAGTAATTTAAGATTTAAATTATGAAAAAAAAAACAAAAATTATCTTTTATATTATCTTTTACATTAGGATTTATATTATTTTAACAAATAATTAGAAATTAAAAAATATATTTTGATTTAATGATTTTATCTAACTATCCGATGAATGAGATAATATTTATTTCAATTTATAAATTCATAATCTATATACGTAAATTTTGAATAAGAATAATTTAAAAATTAACAAAATATTTTACCTTAAATTAATGTTAAAATAATAGAATAGAAAATAAAAACGAAAAATATTAAGAAATTACCAAAAAAATATACAAAATGAAATATTTAAAAACCGTGCATCGCACGGGCTTACATCTAGTATTATTTATTGTTGACAAATATTCGTAAATATTTGAAATTTCTTTGGACTTTTATGCAACATAATTTGACCTTTCTTTCATTTGTTCAAAATCATTTTTCATCTCCCTTACCACTTTAGAAATTCTCTTTATTTTTACTTTATCAAACTCCATTTTCTTCACATCCAACCTCCTTTTCATTTCTTTTGCAATATCAAACACATCTTTAGCCATCACCACATTACTTTTGTATACCAATTTATAACACCAATTCCTCTAACACATAATCAGAAATCAGACTAATTGTTCTGAAATTTCAGCAATTTCTTCCAACTCGATTGAAATGCTTTCTACTTTGCATCTTGCAAAGTTCTAGCTAACTACCATTTAAGTCGACAATGTATCCATTAAAATGGAAACTGGATAAATTATAATCATTTGAAAAACATTGTTATTTCTTACTTAAGAGCAACAACAAACATGATTGACATTTTGATTCAGAT